CACACACACACACACACACACACACACACACACACACACACACTGTGGAGTGCCAGCTGCAGGGCAGAGGCTCAGCTCCTTCCAGTTGTCCCCAGCTCTCTCTGTGTTCTCCCGTAGATGCCCAACGCTGTTTTCCTCGTGGTCAAAAGATGTCAATACTTTATCAGTTTTGTCTGTTTCTGGGAACCTTATCACACTGCTCCCAGCCACACAGCAGAGCTGTTATCTAGGGAATTCCCTTCACTCTGGCGTCCTGGGCCTGCGGTTCTCAGTCCTGGTTACTCTCTCTTTGACAGAGGGTAGCTTGTTAAACTTGGGAGGAAGGGCACATGAAAAATAATTCTCACGCCTGGAAATGGCTTCCTTCTGCCCTTGGAGCCTTCATCCCTGCACGTGGTCCCCTGTGTGGCTAGTGAAGACCCCACGGCCACCCTGATTGCAATTGTTCTCTGGTCTGGAAGCCCTGAGGGCTGCTGTTGACCCTCATGCTCTGACGCCCCCAGCAGTGTGGTGTCTCGGCCTAGGTCTTTGCTCATGCATCTTGCTTGCCTCTGCTCTGCCTGGGCTGTGGTCCTCATCGGACTTAGTTCATGCCGTCTTCCCTTCCATCTCTCTCCTCCCTCCCCTCCCCCGTCTCTCCAGGGATGCCACTCATCGGTATTTGGTCGGTGAACTTCTTGGATTGACCTCCAGTCACCTCATGTTCTGCCTTGGAAGTGGAATCTCCACTGGGATGTTCCTGGGACTGATGTGCCCTGGGAGCTTGGGGACGATGACCTGTCTGTCTGACAGCCCTGTATCTGAGCTCATCCGTCCGGTTCTGTGTCCCTCAGTCCTTTGGGGCTCTATTTCTCCGGGGAACATCCTTGCTCACATCTGTAGGGGAGGGGAGGGAATGGCCAGGCTGAACAGAATGGGAGGGAAGGCCTGTGTGGTGTCTCATTGTCCCACACAAGCATGCACTGTGATGATGTGGCTGTTTAGTCAGCCTCTGACTGGCCGGCCCAGCCCAGGTCTTCTGAGAGTTTGAGTGCAGTTAGAGGGGCTGGGAAGCAGAGGATGGAAAGGCTCCTCGTGGCTGCACCCCTCCCTGTAAACCCATGTACAGCATCTCCCCTGAAGGGTAAACTGCACACAGTCCTGGCCGGACCGGTCCCTTCATGTGTGCAAGAGCCCTTTCCAGGGGTCTCTGTGAAGTCCGGACTGAGACGGACACAGGCTTTGGAGTCATAGAAACCCGACCCTAAGTCCCCGCTCCCTGTTACTGACTAGTTGTTCTTGGATGAATGATTTTGTCTGTGAAATACAAGTGGAATTGAGGTAAGAGCCCCAGTGGTCACACGAAGTGGGTGCTGGCCCAGTGTGAGCACTGTGTCCTCAGCCAGCTAAGGCCTCTTCAGGCCAGTCTGTCGGCTCCTGCCGCGGTGTTCCTGGCAGGGCTTGGGGTGAGTCAGTGTGTGGGTGCGGGGTGTGTGCATACTGGGTTGGAGTTTTCCTGGCCCTGGGCCTTGGGGGTGAGCTGTTCCTTTCTGGGCTCCCTGGTGGCTCTGAGCTGAGTGTGGCTGGGACTGGCAGAGGGGATGATGCAAATAGGCGAAAATGTTGGTAGGTTTGCCTGCACCACGCTCCTGGGGCTGTAGGGGTCTTTTCCAGGCCCAGGTTTGCACTCCTGAGCCTCATATAGGTTTTTTTTGTTTTGTCAGGGGACAGAGAGGGAGAGGTCTCTGTGCTACAGGGGCCCAAGCTGTGAGCGGCACCAAGGGCATCCTTGCTTGTGCAGGATGTGGCTTCTCCATCTTGGAAAAGCCCTGAGCCGTTCCTGGCTCGGCCTGGACCTGGGATCCAGGGCCTGTGCCTCAGAGCAGGGCCCCTGGGCAGAGGCTGCCTGGTAGGAGGAGCCCTGTGGCCTGAGCCGGTGGCCTGACTCTGCCTGTTGCCCCTCTCCCCACAGGTGGTACAAGCTGCACTCCAAGACGGGCAAGAAGGAGAAAGAGCGTGGGGAGATCCAAGTCACCATCCAGTTCATGCGCAACAACCTGAGCGCCAGCATGTTCGACCTGTCCATGAAGGACAAGCCGCGGTCCCCCTTCAGCAAGCTCAAGGACAAGATGAAGGGCAAGAAGAAGTTTGACCTGGAGTCGGCCTCCGCCATCCTCCCCAGCAGTGCCCTGGAGGACCCCGAGCTGGGCAGCCTGGGCAAGATGGGCAAAGCCAAGGGCTTCTTCCTCCGGAACAAGCTGCGCAAGTCGTCCCTGACCCAGTCTAACACGTCACTGGGGTCCGACAGCACCCTGTCCTCAGCCAGTGGGAGCCTGGCCTACCAGGGGCCTGGCGCCGAGCTCCTCACCCGCTCGCCCAGCCGCACCAGCTGGCTGTCCACTGAAGGGGGTGAGCGCGGCGGGCCCCTCCCAGGGCAGGGCAGAGGGAGGCTGCCGGGGGAAGGCCTACCGGGTTGCCCCCACCCTACGGCCCCCTCGACTAACACCAGCTATTTCCTTCCCAGGCAGGGACTCTGCACCGTCCCCCAAGTTCACACACAAAAGGACCTGCAGCGATGAGGCCAGCCAGCTGCGGGCAGCTCCGCCCCGGGCCCTTGACCTTCAGGGCCACGAAGCGACCTCCCGATCCTCCCTCTGTGTGAACGGGAGTCACATTTACAACGAGGAACCCCCAGAGCCCCTGCGGCACCGAAGCTCCATCTCGGGCCCCTTCCCCACCTCCAGCTCCCTGCACGTGGTCTCCTCCCGGCCCTCTGAGGAGGGGCCCCGGGCTGCCAACGAGGTGGGGGTCAGGGGCAGCCGCAGCACCAGCAGCTCGGAGGCAGTGCCAGGACCGGGACCAGAGGAGCTGAGCTTGCAGCCCAGAGTGCTGGCTGTGGGGGCTGGCCAAGCGGGCGAGGAGGAGGAGGAGGGGGCCCGGCTTCCAGAGGGAAAGCCAGTCCAGGTGGCCACCCCCATGGTAGCCTCCTCAGAGGCTGTGGCCGAGAGAGAGGGATCCCGGAAGGAGGAGCGGAAGCCCCGGATGGGCCTCTTCCACCATCACCACCCCAGCCTGAGCCGGAGCGAGTTGGGGCGACGTAGTTCACTGGGTGAGAAGAGCGGTCCCACCCCAGGGGCCTCCCCACACCACTCATCCAGCGGGGAGGAGAAGGCCAAGAGTAGCTGGTTTGGCTTGAGAGAGGCCAAGGAGCCAACTCAGAAACCCAGGTACGTCTTTGGCAAACACACCCTCCTCTGTGGGGAGGACGCTGGGGTGTTGGTGGCCACTGGGCCGGAACCTGAGCCAGGGAGATGGGTGCAGAGATGGCCGCGGGGCAGGCTGCTGGGGCTCTGGCTTTGCATGGCCAGCGGGGTCCCTCATCCTCCTCAGCCCCGGCTTGTTCTCTGCATGTGGGCACAGGTGAGTTACGAGCGGCCTGAGGTTGCCAAGTTGTGGAGCTTGGAGGGTCATGATGGGGCAAGGTGGCACTCCTGCCCTTTGAAGAGGCCTCAGGGTCCAGGGGAAGCAGAGAGGAACCACTTGTCAGGATTCTTTGTTTCCTGGCCTCTGCTTCTTGCCCTCTGGCCTCAAGGTAAGGACACTTTGGCAGGTAGGGAGGAGGGATTTGGGGACTGTCTCCTCGGACTTCTCTCAGCCTCTGGGAAAGTAGACTGCTCCCTGGGTGCTCCAGAAGGCTTGTGGGCTCCACCGGGTGAGAGATGGGAGCCCAGGGTTGGGTGCCTGCTAGGGATTGAGTTGTGCCCCTCCAAATTAGGTTGGGGGTGGGGGTGGGTTCAATCCCATTGGGGAATGAGCTGCTTTGTTGTGCTAATGAGGCAGGATCCCTGTAGTGCCCATCTCTTCTGCAATGTAAAAGGTTAAGTAAAAGGCAGCCAGGAGGTTAGGGAAGGAAAATGCCAAGCCATGGGAAGGTCACCCAGGGGCAGAAGCCCACAGAGATAAGGGCCTTCCTCCAGAACTGGCAGAGAAGGGCCACCTTCCCCGAGAGCCAGCTCCCCGAATGCCAACCTCTAGAGGCAAACTAACCTGTGAAGCCTCCAGTAGTGGTATTTCTGTGGCAGCAGCAGCGCGAGTAGCCGAGACGACGCCCCTAGTGCACAGCTCCCCCGAAACCGTAACCTCCCCGTACCCCTGGAGACCCCTGGGGCTCCGCCTCCCCCTGGCATCTTCTGGTCTAGGGGCACAGCACTGCTGGACATGCCATCGAGACATGCCGTTGATGGCTGCTCTGTTGAGTTTGTCGAGGCCCAGCCAGGAGGGACCCTGTAGCCTTCAGCTCGGGCCCCCAGCAGATCTCTTGGTCCCTGAGCCAGAAGAGGCTGTCGCCTTATCTGGCAGTAACCAGGGTAGGACCCAGCAGCACAAGTCTGCCTCCAAGAGCCTGGGACCGATGCAGGCAGTGTCTTGGGCAATGGCAACCAGTGTGGTAAGAGCAGGTATTCTGTTCTCTCAGCAAGCCTGGCCCTCCCAGCCCTGCGGGTGTACGGGCCAGAGATAGGGTGGGCAGGCTGGGCACAGTCATGAGGGCTTGGGACACTGGGGACAGAGGGAAGAGGTGGGAGACCTGAAGCCCTGGCCTTTCTTTCTCAGTGAGATTCTGAGTCTGCTGAGAGGAATGGCGAGTGAAGTGGGGCCTTTTCCAGGGCTGGCTGGGAACCTTCATCACAGCCTCATGGATGAGGGGTGCGGGCGGGGGGTGGGGTGAGGTGGGTGGTGGCTGAGTCAGTGTGGGTGATGCCTCTCTCTGCTCCCTGCCTAGACCAGCAGCTTCTGTCCTTACTGTCTAGCCCCCACGTGCCAAACGCCCAGGGCGCACTGCTGGATCTCCGCAACCTGGGCAAGACTGGCCCTTCTGCATGTCCAGACTCAACTCGTAGCCCTGGGACAACTCTGGGAGGCGTTTGGAGGGTGTGTTACTGGGGGACACAGCTGGGTACCTGGGCAGGGCAGTTGCTGGGAGGAGCTGGCAGGCTTGGGTCAGAAGGGCCCCGGATGGGAGCTCAGTGCTGCTGGCGGTGGGGTGATCTTGGACCTTTTAAAGTTTAGTGTGTGTGTGTGTGTGTGTGTGTGTGTGTGTTTATGTAGGAGAGAACCCGTAGGTGTGATTAGGAGCCATGGTGGTATAGTGGTTATGCATTGTTTGGCTGCTAACCACGAGGTGAGCAGTTTGAAACCAGCAGCCGCTGCCCAGGAAAAAGATGAGGCTTTCTATTTGTGTAAGAGTTACAGTCTTGGGAACCCACGGGGCCGTTCTACCCTGACCTAGAGTGTCCCTGTGAGTCAGCACTGACCGGATGGCAGAGTTTAGTGGGAGGTGTGAGTTTGAGTGACGTCGGAGCTGCCCTTGCCCCCGGGATGCCTCGTCTCTGCTCTTCTGTTTCCCTGGCTCTTCCAACAACCTCTCAGCGTCCGGAGCATTGGGGTCATTCCCGGCCAGAGACGAGCTGAGGTTTCTGCCCTGCTTGCGCTTGAATTCTGAGCCTTGTCCTCAGCGGGTTGGAGGGCACCCAGCAGCCCCCACCCCCACCCCCGTGCCCGCTTGCTGGCGGCTGCTGCAGTGCAGGCGCTGGGGCTGTACCACCAGGCAGTGGCCTGGCCTGGAGAGACAGGAATCTGGACACTGAGCCCCCTCCGCACCAGCCTGACCCTGTGTTCCTCCGAGGCAGGCAGGCAGGCAGGCAGGCAGAAGAGGACCCTTGGGCTTACCTGAAGGCTTTTGAGGGAGAATGAGCGGTGAGCCCTGGGGCTGCCCTTGGAGGGTGTGGACCTTCACGCTGAGCAGGGCAGTGGTGCCCTCTAGTGCTCCCACGTGGTACTGCTGTGTCCCCCGGAGGTAGAAAGCCCACGCTCTGGATTCTAGAAAACAGCTGCTGCAGTGGTGGGAAGAGAAGGAACCAGTGTGGAGGGCCAAGAAGATGGCCCTCCTCTAGTCTCTGAACTCCCCTTTGTCAAAAGGTCCCACAACTCTGTTGCACCAGGCCTACGACTACGCTCGTGTGTGTCGGGAGGTGGCAGGCAGGGAGGGGTGTTCCAGACCTGGGTCTCGTCCCTGCGCCCATTCCAGCCGTGAACCGTCCACACTGGGCCCCGGCCCGGCCCCGGCTACTTAGAGTGTGTTTGAGGACAGTCCGGGCCCTGTGAGTTCATACCAACGTCTTTAAGCCTCTTCTTCTCTCCACCCCTTTAGAATTGGAGCTTCCCGAGGCCATTCCCGTGGTCCTCGGCCTCTCCAACTCCTGCACACGAACACAAGACTTTATAGTCGCTATTAGGGATTCGATGCGGGATACTTTTTTTTTTAATTGGGGCAGGTGCGGTACAACACTTCAAGATGTCCCCTCAAGGGCAACACTGACAGAGAGAGGTATGTTAACGTCCGTCTGCCTATAAGGAGGCCACTTGATGCGACTACAGTCCACACATCAGCACCAACCACAAATGCCAAAGGCAAAGAAAGCGAAGTTGTTGTTTTTGTTTGCTTGTTTTTGAGAAGTAAAGAAAAGGCTTTATTACGGCAGGGAAGAACTCCCGGACGGATTCCACAACCTAACGAGCTAGGTTAAGGAAGTCGCTGAAGTTGTTTTTTTTAAAAACAACTTCTGCATTCTAAAATTGATCCAAAGTCTGATCAAGATGAATTGATACCTACTGACGATCAGAAGGCGGAAGCTGGAAACAAAGGAGGGGGATTGGTAGATGTTGGAGAAGATGCCCCTGGAAAATATAAGTACCTGCATGTTAGAATTTTGCGAGGCCAGCGATTTCTTCGTGGAAAATTGCTTTCTTTCTTCTTTATGGGTTATGGTTTAGTGTTTATTTGTTTTTCATTTAATCTTTCTTAATCTTTTTTAAAAATCACTTTATTAGGGGTCATACAACTCTTATCACAAGCCATACATACATCAATTGTATAAAGCACATTTGTACATCCATTGCCCTCATCATTCTCAAAACATTTGCTCTCCACATAAGCCCCTGGCATCAACTCCTCATTTTCCCCCCTCCCTGCTCCCCCCTCCCTCATAAAGCCTTGATAATTTATTAATTATTATTTTGTAAATTGCTTTCATTAGTAACATAAATGGTGACTATTCACTTGAACCTCACGAGATGCAATCCACGGAAATCCACTCTGTGGGAAGAGGCCTTGTTCATCGATTGGAAGAAGGCCAGAGGTCAACTGTGGAGCAGCCCATTGCTCCTATGCAAGTTCAAGTTGAAGCTGAAGAGATTTAAATCCTAAGAGCCAAACTACAACCTTGAGGATCTCCCGCCTGAATTCAGACAGTTTTAAAGGAATAGGTTTGACCCATTAGCCATCCTGTCTGGAGACCAGACATGATGTGGGTGACCTAAGGACACGTACAAAGAAGATGGGAGCAACAGGACAAAAATGCCTGTGAGAAGCCTGACGCGTACTCTGGGTCAGGGGTCAGCAGACTGTAGCTGGACAGCCACGGGCAACTCTGTCGGCACGTGGCGTGGTTCTGAAGTAAAGCCGAAGCGTCTTAAAGGGCATTATTCGGATAATGCTGATTTCATTTGTTCTTCACAATGCCTCAACGGCTCTTGAATACAGTGAACCCTCGTTTATCGCGGTTAATCGGTTCTAGACCCTACCGTGATAAGTGAAATTCCGCGAAGTAGGATTCCTTATTTGTAAATCAAATATTTTCGTAGTTAGAGCATAGAGGACATGAAAAAACACCCTTTAGTCACCATTACACTTGTATTACCCAATTTATTAAACGAAAAAGGGAAAATACAGGAAAACATTTTGGACGTTACAAGTATCATTTATTATTTATTATATTATTTATGGCATCAAGCGTGTACAATATGAGCCAATCAGTGGCAGTCATGACAGAGCATGCGCTGTTACGCAAAAACCGCGATAGAGTGAAGCCGCGGAAGTCGAAGCGCGAAGTGGCGGGGGTTCACTGTACTTCGTCAATGGTTGTGAGGGACGGAACCGGCTCTTCCCTCTCGAGAGCCTGCCGACCCGGCTCTGGAACGCAGAGAGGCCAGAGTGCAGGGAAGAAGCGATGAAGTAAAGGCCAAGGTGAGTGTCAAAGGGCAGCTTGGGGAAACAAAGTAAAGCAGGACGGTGACACGTGCAAAGACCTGGAGGCAGACAACAAAGGGAAGAACATGCCCAGCATTTCTCAGACATCATGGAAGACTCGACTTTCAGCAGTGCAGGGTG